ATATATATATATAGAGAGAGAGAGAGAGAGAGAGAGAGAGAGAGAGAGATCATTATTAATTAATATTATTAAAATAAAATTATAAAGTCAACTATTTTACAAGTATTTTTAACCAAAGACATAAATTCATTTTTAATGTTGCTATTAATAATCAGCTGTAAATTTTAATTAAATTCTTTCAGAAAAATTAGAAGTATGTACTGTTTACACACAAAATTAATAAAAAAAAATGGCATTTTTAAAACGAATCTATATCTTTAATCATACTTTATAAATTCAGAATTTCGAAATTACAGAAAAAATTGTACCACTTTTTATAGAATGCTTCTGCCTTTTCTATTTTTAGCTTTTTATTAATATGCTCAAGAACTTTAAAAATTTCTGCGCTTTTTTGGAATCAAATTGACATTAATTGGAGAAGAACAAAGAACGTAAATCTTGCCAATTTCTGTTTTTTGCAACATTAGTTAGTATGAGAAATTTCTTTAATTTAACATTTTTCTAAACTAAGCATTTCTAAATTTAACATTTTTGTATTTTACCTGTTTTATTTTCCTTAAAAAAAATCTGCACAACTCCATTACCATTACTTAAAAGTTATTCAGTTTGGTAAAATGTCATTTTCCGAAAAAAAGAACCCCTTTAAAAATCATTACTTAAGCGTTATGTTTTCCTTTAGCATGGCGATTTTTCTTTCTTAGTTTCTTGTCTTGTTTCTTAAATTGGGGATGTTTGTTTCAGTTATGCGAATATATTTTTAGTACGTTTGGAAGCTTCTTTAGCAAAAAAATATTTCTGAATTCATTCTTTTAAGTTTCTTAGCAGTAATAGATTCGATAAATGCACAAGATTTTTTTAAAATTATTTTATATTCTTAATCTAAAATAAGTTGCCCTTCAAAACCTTTTCCGGCATATAAAATACTTTTCAAGTATTAATGAGCTATTTTTATAATTGTTTTAAGTCAAGAGTTATTCATTATTATAAGGCTGAAATGTAGCCAGTGCACTGCATGCCACATAGATAAATGGTGCAAAATATGCATATGATGAATAGTCTCTGTTTTGTCATTTTCTTTTATTTATATATACATATCGCTTATGTGGCACAATAGACTCGGGTATTTCTCTATTCATTAGCAAAACTGTAGATATTATTCATTTCATTAGATTTTCTTAAGAAATAATTTAAGCTGTGATTAAAAATAACTGGTCGCAAAGTATTTATTTTAAGTATTTTACTTAATTATCTTTTTTACTATCTATATATGCATATCTCTTATGTGGCACCATAAAGCTGGGTATTTCACTATCTACTGGCAACACCATAGCCATTATTCATTTTGTTAGGTTGTCTTAAGTAATGACTTAAGTAGCGATAAAAAATTAGCGTGTAGATTTTAGTATAATTTTGTATTTTTATGGAATCAAAAGCTTGCTGCGAAGTAATTATTAAGGTTTATCTTTGATCCTTTTTAAATGGCTGTAGAAATTTTAAAGATAAATGGAGTTATGTAATTGTTAGTGACGTGTAATCTAATCGTTATATAATCGTTAGGGGTAATCGGAATTATCTAATCATTGCCGCCATACTAATTGTTAGTGACGGAGCTTGCTATTTTTGAGCAATAATGTTATAATATTATAAGTTATGGTTCTAGTGGCTCGTAAGGAAGTAGTACAGTAAGTATGGAAGTCTTTCCATCTCATAACACTACAAAGATGGGAACTATTTTAATACAGCCGCTGCGTTAAAATGTCCTAAAATTATACTTATCATAATTTCTGTGATTTAATGGTTGCCTGACAGATTCTTAATTATTTCTAAAATTCATTAAGTAAATCTCTCTTCATTAAAGATATCCCTTGAAAATATATTTAAAATTTAAATCAAAATTACTTCCACGTGGACAAAACCTACATTTAGACGGTGAAAAAATTTGGCTATTTTATTAAAATTAGTTACGTAACAATTTCAAACTGAATTGCAAAGAAGGAGTGAAGGATAGGGCATTTTGCTTTGTCCAGCAATAAATAGATAAGGGTGGAAACTGACTGGCTATATAACTGGACAATCACAGCAAGCTTACAGCTAAAACATTTACTCTTGTGACATCAAATCATGAGGAAAGCCAAACCAAATGGTCTAATGAAACTAAAAATGTGACAGGTGGGAATCGAAAATTAAGAGTAGTAGATTGAAATTTGTAGGAAGTTATGTGAAGACCTTTATCAAACAGTAGATTCAAAATTATGTTGTTAATAATTTTAATTCTTTTGCATATTAACATTTTCAAAAGTGTATTTTAGGATTTGTAAGTGAGCAATTTTATTTTATTGATTTTGTTTTCTTATATTAGAAGCCAAGTCTATAGCTTGTTCATATGAATGCAAGTTTATAGAGACTTCAGCAGCTATCAATCATCAAGTAGATGAACTTTTAGTTGGTGTTGTGACTCAAATCCGGCTTAAAGCTCAACAACTGTCGGAAATGACTTCTTTCACAGAAAACAGTGGGGCCAGCAGACCAAGTCGCAGTCTTCAGAAGAGGATGTCTCTGGGGGGTTCTGGCAGAAAAACCCGTAGCATCCTCAGTAAATTACTGGGCAAAGGAAAAATCAAATCACAGTCATGTGGAAATCTGTACGTCCTCTGACTTTCTGAAGTTATTTGTTTTTAGAACGAAACTTTGTGTTGTGCTTTAAGATATTGTTGTTTGTAGATGCATTGTTTATAAATTGAAAGTTAACAACTGATAATAAAAATTAGCAATAGAAAACATCAATAATACGATAGTAGGCCAACAATTTATTACATTTGACAGGTTAAGAATGATAATAATCCAACAATTAATTACATTTAATAATTTGTAAAGAAAAAAAAACTGGGAGCCTAATTGGGGTAGTTTAAAAATAATAATAAGTAAAGAATAAAATACATTTAATAGTTTACAAATCGAAGAAAACCAACAATGAAATTTATATTATAATTAGCAAATGATAATAAACCTGGCATAAAGTACAATTGATAATAATAAAACTAACATAAAATATTATTTATAATATATAAATGATAATAAACTAGCAATTGCTATCGCAGATAAATCTGCACTTCTTTTTTTCTCAATTTATCTAGGAATCTTATTTTAAGAATACTTTTAAAGATTTTAAAATACTGTGAGATTCAAAGAACCTAAAATTATATGTAAATATTTTTTGTGTCATATTTTAAAATTTAATTAATAATTCATATAATTCATTAATGAATATAATTTGAAAAATATGCATTGGTGTTGATTTAAGTGCACAGCTAGCATTTTTCTTCTAATTTCAAGATATCTATTTCTAAAGAGAAGAAATAAATAAATAAAATATTTATTATTTTAAATACTTTATGATGCAATTGGAACATTCACCCTGGTTAAAAATATTCTTGAATAAAAGGACTTTCAGTTTTTTTTGCGAAAACTGAAATTTCTCTTTCGTTTTTATGTAACGTCCAAAAGAATAGATAAGATTACTCTTTTTGAATATAAAGATATTTGACTTTACGATGAAAACAAAAATCTGCAGCTTTTGACATGCTTACATGCTATGTACCAAAAAATAGTTTCTATACCCTAAGTATTTCTGAGTAAAAGAACCGTTAACTGTAACGGTGAAAAAGGCTACAACTGTCGTTGCACAGACATGCTGCAAATGCTATGTAACAGAAAATATTTACGGAGTTGAATTATTTTTGAATTAAAAAAAACACTTACCCTAATTTTTAAAATATTCTACATTTTTGCTTGAAAATATACACTATATACACCTTCATGGTACATGGAATGAAAAATTTTATCTGTCGTATAATACACGGACAAAAATATTATGATAAAACCATCTTATTAGATGGTAAGGACATTTCTGGTGAACGAAAACCGTAATTCTGGCTAATAAAACGGAAACATTCGTTATTTAAACCATTCATTTGGTAATTTTTCTGTTCATGTAGTCACGGTTTACTGCAAATTCTGATTTTCAAAATTATAGTTCTTATAATCATTCATATGTTTAATACAAAACATAAAAGTAAATTTAACCGAATAAATGATTTTTATGGCTTGCTCTAAGACATCAAATGAAAATACCAAATTTTACTACATTTACCAAGTTTTATCACGTATTGCAAAACCATTTGCCAAACCACTTAAAATTATAGAGCTTTTTGTTGTTCCATAGATCCGAAAACACAGAAACTTTTACGAAATTCTGGTAGTTTTGACCATAATTTTTCTAAGTGTGAAATAGGAACCTTTCAATACCAGTTTTATTTATATAATGCGCACTGAAATTCCTTTTTGTTGGTGCGGCTTTCACTACAGTGGTTCAACTTCTTTTTGTTTAAGATAACCTTCATTTTTAAGACGAAAATAAAAGTTTTTTTCTATACATGTTTCAAAAGAGAAAAAAATAATAATGATGCATCTGCAAACAACTTTTAAATTGTAGTCATGATAATACATTTGAATGAAAATCCTTTTTTTACATAAATAGCCCTCTCTTGCCTCATGCACCTTCCTAGCTCATACTAAAATACAAAACTTTATAATAAGAAGACATTTATTTCTTATATTTATGCACTAGATGTTGTTTTGTATAAATATAGAAAGGTTAGCTATTTTACTTTGGTTTTATCGTTCGTATTACAGTAGAATTAGTATAAATCATTCGATTACAAAGGTTCAGATTTATTCTTATAAGCTTCTACTGTTAATCCAATGAAAGAGTTTTCGAACTTCTTTTTTAACCATAGTATTTAAACATGATTCAGTCAGCTGAAATCATGAATTAACAAATATTGCAATCAAAGTGTTGCACATTGCATATAGAAAAAGTAAACATATATATATATATATATATAAGTTCCAAATGAAGAATAAAACAAAGAAAAATTATAGACATATGAAAAAAAGGGGGTGGGAAATAATAAGTAAAAAAA